AGTATTAAAATCTTACCTAAAATAACCAAAATCAAAGCGAAAAATCAGTCAATAAATTCCGACACCCCCTGCAGGGGCTGGGGATTTAAATTCGGGAACAGGGATGGAACCCCAAAACCTACCTGGCTACGCCCATGGTATATGATTTAACAGGCTCATATCTATATGGGTGTTCGTTGCCGGGGGAGGTTGAAACAATACATGGCTACCGAGAATCTAAAAAACTGCCATATGCTTTGGAAATACGAAACACATATACAGGAACTTATCTAAAATTAGACATACGCAGTCCCGAAACGTCCATTTTTGCTCCAAACATAAAAAGAATTACAAAACAAAAACAAGGTTTCAAAGATGGTTTGTGTGGAAACACAAACTGAAAATCGGTCCCCGAAGTGGTCCACCCAGGCAGGCTTCAATATTTACAGAAAGAACATTTGAATGAAATTATATCAAAGACAAATGACAGATAAGAATGGAGAAAGAAGGTTGACAGATCTTGTGTAGTGCCCCAACGGTCCAGCAGATCAAAGGATAGGTGCAAGTGAATGTAAAGTTAGATGTGAACCTGGCCTAACTAGTTCCCCTTTCAGACCTTGTGGTCTATAGGCCGATGATGTAACGTTTATCTGTTTTTGTGGCCTACGGTTAACGAGGGTGTCATGTAGCCAGCACAACGACTAACCGCCTTTACTTTTCCCCAACTAATGTCAGGTACCCATTAGACATGGGTGGACTCAGGGGCGCCCAAAGATTCCGAAGTTGAAAATCCCAGTCTTCACCAGTCTTCGATCCCGGAACCCCCGGTTCGGAAGCCAAACGCTTTACCGATAAGCCACCGCGCCTTTCCTGGCCTAACTGATGTCTTATATTTGATCTAATTGTTTTGAAAAGACTCAGTCTTTTATTTGAACATGGTTATCTCTCTTAATATACATATATATATATATGTTGGAAGGTTAAGAGAAGTAGTACTATGTCTGCGCTAAACAAGCGCAGTGGTTTCCAGATCTGGCTGCTCTGCATAACAAGCGGGGGGGGGGGGGGGGGGGGGGGATTGGCCTCTCGATAGAGCATGCGGCTTTAAAAGACACGATTGACATTCTCTTCTCTGATAATGCTCCACAAGGGTAAATCTCACTAGCATCTATGTATCTATTTTTAGCTTTCTGAACAGGATCATTCTGCTGTGACGAAGTATTTTATGTTGGTCATGTCGGGACTGCTGGTAAAAGGCATCTTTTTTTTTTCTTTTTGTGTGAGAGCTGGTCAATATTTATTTATTCATTCAACTCTTTATTTCTTTTGTTTCATTTCTTCCAGGTGTTGGCCAATAGGTCTGCTTTTTCATTGCCTTCTAATTCAATGTGTCTTGTGATCCGTTGGTGAATGTTACCTTGCTGTTGTTGAGATTTACAAGAGCTGTCCTGGCTTCAGTCAGACAGACAATCTGGCTGTAGGACGTTCTCGTGTTGTTTATGGACGTAGTAGATGCTAGCTCTCGTGCTCCACTTTCTGCTCTGTGGCTTGTCCAAGAAATCACCAGCTTCAATTGAGCAATCACAGATGAATCCATACTAATGCAAAAAGCAGATAATTGAAATATCCATAAATGAGGAACTTAAAACCAATATGTAAACAATGATACCTAAAATTCTGGTTACAAAATTATATTCAAATTTATATCTTACATTCTGTGTCATAGTCAAGAAATTGTTGACTGCTTTCCCGTCTTGATGTTTGATACAACGAGGATTACTTGCCGTAATAAACAGCATCACAAATACAAGAAACTGACTCGAAATGTGTGTTCGTGAGCTGTACATAACTACTCATAGAATCTCATCAACCCCATTCAATATATATATCAATAAACACTCCTTCATAAACTGTTGTTTTACTTTTGTTATATATATAATATATATATCTATAACATTTGGATATGTGCATGTATATATGTATATGTATGTATGTATGTATGAATGTATGTATGTGTGTGTGTATGTGTGTGTGTGAAACGCATATATGTAGTTTTTTCACTTAAGGGTCCGTGGGCAAGTTTTTACTATAGAATGTGGTCCTGATTAACAACATTTTTAGAACCTCTTAATTAATACATGTTTTTGTATGTTCAAATATGTAAAAACTTATAATAGAAGAAAGTAACAAGGGAAGATCTTATTCAACAAACTAAACTCCTAGGAGTTGTTTTTTTTAAACTAATATTACATTGTGCAATCTCTGAAATAAATTCCAGGTCAACACGAACTGATTTCTGCGATATTGTGTATGTTTTTATTACGATGATATAAATGTGTATATTTTTGGAAGCTTATACAAATTTTATTACAAACAAATATTTAACTGTGTCATTTTCTTCAATAACCTGTCTCCATGGAATAGCACATCATCAGAGACAATATTTTCCTTTTGCAATTTCTCATGTGACTAAAGAGTTGAATTGTAAATGTACACCAAAGTCACAGGTTGGGCATTTCTAAACACCAGTTAGAGTGAAGTAAAAGTAAAGTTTCCATTTCAGATCTTGCGATCTCTGGGGCAGAGGATATTAAGGTCATCTGTTTCTACGGCCTACGGTTAACGAGCAGGGTGTCATGTGACCAGCACAACGGCCAACCACCATTACTTTCCCCAACTAAAGTCGGGTACCCATTAGACTTGGGTGGACTCAGGGACGTCCTAAAAAATCACGACATTCAAAATCCCGGCCTTAACCGAGATTCGAACCCAGGGCCGCAGGTTCGGAAGCAGAGCGCCTAACCACTCAGCCACCGCGTCCCCTAACACCAGTTACTGCAGAGTTTTAATGCTTCCTTCTTCTTCCGGTGTGTAAACCAAATGCAACCTAGAATGTGGTTCTATCCTGTGCATTCTCTCCCAAATGTTGGTGTCGATTATGGAAAGCTTCATATTGCTCTTGCAAACCAGTATATCTTAGAATTGGACGACCTGCAGCACTCCTCCATTCCTATTATTTCACATACAATATATCATGTGGGGGTCAAACTTGAGGCATGTTCAAACCAGCCAAAGTGTTTACTGTTGATAACCTTGCTGATCGTTCAACATTCACCGTAACCTATCTGTTGTACCGTTGGGGCATCACACAAGATTTGCTGACCATCTTTCTCCATTTCTCTCTGTCTTTTGCGTTGGATAGAGTCTATTTCTAGAACGGGCCAATCCATTCTTTTTATCATGTCTTTTAATCGCTTGTTCTCTTTTAGCTTGTTCTTCTCTTTCCCCCGAAGCCCTGAGAACCTTGTAGGTTTGGCGTAGCGTTTTAGTGTGCATTGTTTTAACATTTTTAAAACTAGCAAGAGACCGTGGAGACTGTCTTGTTTTGACTGTTGACGATGATGATCTCTAAAAAGAGAAAGAAATTGTACAAACTGAGATGTTGGTGTAAGCTTAATTAGTCCTCCATTATAGGTTGATGCTCTAAATTGAAATAAAAGGATATAACTGTACTATCTTCTCTAATCATGTGTAACTCGCTAGCAGAGTGGTCAGCACGTCGGCACGATGAGGCGTGAGCTTACGAGTTCCAATGTAAGTCGCTTTCTCCTAATGAACGGTAACATCGTTGATTTGACCTCATTAGTTTTAATTAGTTTTTGCTTTTAAAAAATGTAATTTGAAAAGTGCATGCATTCTCCAATAATTCTATACCAAAAGTAATTTTTTTTTATTACAAACAAAAATATTATTGAAGTTAAATCATAACAAGGTAGAATGTACAATTGGGGAAAATGAACAATTTTGTCAGAACGTGGACAAATAATGACGGAGAGAAAGAGTTTAAAAAACAACAACGGTACAATGGTGGGAAGCGTGGTCGAGAGGCTAAGTGCGGCTTGAACTTGGCTTGTCTTGGCTACCTAGAAGGGGGCTCGAGATTCGACACCTGACTCGGGCAGAGTTGGGTTTACTGAGCGCAGCACGGAAAACCAACTCCTAGATACCCCCTCCCCCCACCCCCACCGGTCCACAAATGAGACTGGACTATAAGCATGAAAGTAGCGCTATATAAAAGCTATAATAATAATAATTAACCCAGTTATCCGTTCTTTCTTTCTCACCCCGCCCTTCCGCTTTCCCAACAGGTCCAGACAAGTGACAGGATCATGGCGTCTTGAGAAAGCTAAAAGCATTCAAATTGAATAGCGCTAAACAATTGGTAAACATATTTATTAATCGCACACATTTATTGCTGTTGGTCTAGATCTATTACAAATGTAATGACATGACTGGCCCAAACTAATTGATACAATTACACTTTGTGTAAGCTTTGCTTGTTTTGTTTCTTTAAAGTATTTTTTTTTTATTTTTTAATGTTTATCTTGTTTGCTATCTATTCATAAGATTTAAAGCAGGCTGTTAAACAGTACAGCATTTTGCCAACGGGTGTAAATAAATTAAGGAAACGAGTGTGAATGTATTTTTTTAAGACAGCTACTGGGAACAAAAATATTTCTAATATAATAAGATTACTATAATATTATCGTATCTTATAAAATACAGACGTTACTTCAAAAAAGAAGATGTTACGTCCTACGCGTCATGCATCTAGTCATGCATATTAACCAATGACTTAAAATCTGCCAAGTCACTGGTTTTCCTGGCTGACTGAGGCAACCCTTTCCATGCTCTAATAGCACTATGGAAGATGGAGCATTTGTACAAATTTTTCCTAGCATATAGAACGAGGAGGGTGTCTTTATCTTTGTATCTTTATGTGTATTTTATTAAATTTTGTTTTTGTATTTGAAGATTATGGTTCAGTGTTTAATGTATAATTGCTACATTACTTTTAAGTACAGAATGTTTCTTTTGGAAATGTAATTATGTAAGTATAGGTAAAAGGATGTGTTTATAAAGAAGATGTTTTAACTTTTGAGACATTTTATCACAAGGATTTGTGAAGTCATTATAGAAGGAAGAAAGTATTAAGCAAAGAAAAGAAACGTCTCAGTAGATATACATCCGTACCTTTTTAATTCCACTTCATCACGTCAATACGTTACACTGTAAACATTAGAAGGTAATGTGATTTATGTAGTAACATCAAATCCCGTGTTTATACATCGCAAGATTAACAAGAACATAATGGACGAATGCTTTTTAGCAGTGACTTATCTCTTGATATTTTCTTAACATTTTATTACTGGCTTTTTTTCTATATGTTTAGCCTCTCCGTAATCTAGTGTTTCTAAACATTTGGAACATCTCTGCCGACTACATTCGCTACTTGTCCAGCAACTGTCGCCCATTTGCCTAGATCTTGCCAGAAATCTCTTTTGTTGATAGGCAATCGAGCGCCCAAGTTTCGACCAACTCTGCTGGCAGAAGGAGCGGCTTGCGCTACCACTGGAGGTGCGGCTGGTGGTACTACAGGAGGTGAGGCTGGTGCTTTACGAGAATCTTTTTTATTGATATCCAAGGGAACTTCCATGCTGACATCTCTACCTGCAGCAGTTGCTGCTTGTGCCACTATAGGAGCCCATTTGGCAACGCTTTCCCAAAAATCTCTTTTATTGATATCCAAGGGAACTTCCATGCTGACATCTCTACCTGCAGTATTTGCTACTTGTGCTACTATAGGAGCCCATTTGGCAACGCTTTCCCAAAAATCTCTTTTATTGATATCCAAGGGAACTTCCATGCTGACATCTCTACCTGCAGTATTTGCTACTTGTGCTACTATAGGAGCCCATTTGGCAACGCTCTCCCAAAAATCTCTTTTATTGATATCCAAGGGAACTTCCATGCTGACATCTCTACCTGCAGTATTTGCTACTTGTGCTACTATAGGAGCCCATTTGGCAACGCTCTCCCAAAAATCTCTTTTATTGATATCCAAGGGAACTTCCATGCTGACATCTCTACCTGCAGTATTTGCTACTTGTGCTACTATAGGAGCCCATTTGGCAACGCTCTCCCAAAAATCTCTTTTATTGATATCCAAGGGAACTTCCATGCTGACATCTCTACCTGCAGTATTTGCTACTTGTGCTACTATAGGAGCCCATTTGGCAACGCTCTCCCAAAAATCTCTTTTATTGATATCCAAGGGAACTTCCATGCTGACATCTCTACCTGCAGTATTTGCTACTTGTGCTACTATAGGAGCCCATTTGGCAACGCTCTCCCAAAAATCTCTTTTATTGATATCCAAGGGAACTTCCATGTTTCGAATGTCTCTTCCGTTTGCAGCTGTCGCCACATCTCCAGCTATTTTAGCCCATTTGGCTACATCTCCCCAGAAATCTCTTTTCTGGAACTGAAAAGAAAAAAAAAATAAGTAAAAAAAATTATATACGTTTTTATACCAACAATGTAAAAAATAAAGCAGAATGTCCATAGTTGGCCCTTGACGAGGTTCTATGCCGTTCCTCGATAGTTATTATGTGTAACATTGACCGCCTTGTAGCACTTGCTTTTTGTGGCAAATAAAAAGAGAATGTTTGGTTCCGATTTCAGACCATGAGGTCTATAGTGCTCATGATGTACAGGTCATCTATTTCTTTGGCCTACGGTTAATGATGGTGTCATGTGGCCAGTACAACGTCAACAGCCTTTAATTTTCCCCAACTAATGCCAGATATCCTTATATATTGCATCTAAAAAAAACATGAATTAATAAACAATTAGTACTCAATTAGTTAATATTGGTAATTAATTATTTTGTTTGACATCGAATAAGGGAAATAAATTGTACATTATTGGTTAATATAGTTTTAGGGACAAAGTACTTCCCCTATAAAAAAGCTATCCTTTTTTTTTAAAGGATTTTTTTTTTAGTTGGCAGCAGCGATCTTTTAATATGGCGTCCTTGACATTTATTTTGCCAATATATTTTAAAATCTCCCAGTCTTCACCTTTCCTTAAGCTGGCCTGATATCGTCACCTTGTTTCTTTTTATAGCATTCCCTATTTTTTTCTTTTTTATTGGATCTTATCGCTTAAGGAATGTAAATTTGATTTGAGAGATTCAAGTGCGAATGTCTCATTTTTTTTAGTTTGAGAATCTGTAATATTTGATAGTTGCTTTCGTTTCGGTTTTTTTTTTGTTCGTTTATATATATCTTATCTTATCTTATCTAATACAGACGTTACTTCAAAAAAGAAGATGATTACGTCCTACGAGTCATGCATTCAGTCATGCATATTAACCAATGACTTAAATTCTGCCAAGTCACTGGTTTTCCTGGCTAGCTCAGGCAACCCATTCCATGCTTTGTGCCATGTTCCCATATTTATAAATAACGGAGAAAATAAAATCTAAATCGACCACCTGCGGACAATGGTTATGCTTGCTCCGGATGTGGCAAAATATGTAGGTCACAGCTGGGACTGCGCAGGCACGGAAGATACTGCATTCCTCACTAATCTTTGGACTCGAAGACTAACCTTATTGATATATATTTCTAGTTGTAGTTTAAATTCATTTTGATTATTGTAACATTCGCTTTAACAAAACGTTTGTTGAGAGTTCAAACGAATACGATCATGGTATGGTTGTGTTTTTTTTTAAAAAAAAGCATTGCTTGGACACATTCCTTAGATCTAAGTTTAAGTAAGACTTTAGAAGTAAAAAAGAACATTGTTCATATTTAATACTAATAACAAACTCTTAAAAAATAGCCTCTTTAATTTTTGTTTGTAGATTATAGTTCATAGTTTCTGATAAGATCTTTCTGAAAATATTGAAATCTGCCTTTTTTCTTCCTGAGCGGACCACTTTGGGGGCCTATTTCGAGTTTGTGTTTCCACGCAAACTTTCTTTGAAAACTTGTTCTAATTGCTTTTACATAACTCATCATCATGCTATAGCGTTCTCGGTGTGCTTATCTTCTTCTTATCTTATAAAATACAGACGTTACTTCAAAGAAAAGATGATTACGTCCTACGGATGCATGTTAATCAATGGCTTAATCTACTCCAATTCATTGGTTTTCTTTGCTGACTCCAGTAACCCATTCCATGCACTAATAGCACTAGGGAAAAAAGGGTATTTGTACAAATTTGTCCTAGCATATGGGACGAGGGATGTGCCTTTATCTTTGTGTCGTACTCAGTAGTTTATTATGTTTTGTTTTAGTATTTGAAGATTTATGGTTCAGTGTTTTATCTATAATTGCTACTTTACTTTTAAGTCTTCTATCCTGAAGGTTCTTTAAATTTAATGTTTTTACTAAAAGCATGACTCTAATCAAAAGTGAATATTCGTTTGTTATGAATCTCAATGCTATGTTTTGTGTATGGTCTAGATTTTAATGTTTTTTTATTTGATGGGTCCCAAACAGAGGATGCATATTGTTTTATGGACCTAACCAAGGTTAAATAACATTTAAGTCTTAAGTTCTAATTAGATATGTAGACATTTATGTGGACCAATCTCTTGTAAATGTGTGGCGTGAGGAGGGATTTCCATGCTGTCATTTAGCCGTACGCATACACAACTTAACTAGTGGCGACATTTTAATGAAAATGTATGATCTATATTCTACATCGTCAGTTAAACCGAAACTCCCTTGCTAAGAAATCAAGCTATTTATGCCTATTAGTAATGCAGTACTGATGTATTACATAGGTAATAACAAATACCTCCCCCCCCCACCCCAAAGTGCATTTGTGATACAGAGAGAGGAAGATTATACTTACGTTTTTTAGATAATCGACTAATTCTTTCAAGTCCCGATCAGCTTCTGTTTCAGGCTCAGTAGAAGTTAAGTCTTCCTCGTTTGAAACTGTCTCTGGCACGGTAGAAGCTACGTCGTCCTCGGTTGAAACTGTCTCTGCCTCAATAGGAGCTAAATCGCCTTCAAGAGACACTGTGTCTAGATTAGTGGAAGCTTGTGTGTCTGCCTTACCAAAATCGGTGTCAGAATCAGGTTGACTCATCACACACAACAGACCCAGCAAGAATACGTAGCTTACTTTTAATAACATGATAAGTAGAAAACTGTATCCTGGGAAGTGAAAAAAATTAAATTAAACTATGCAAAAATTCGAGTAAAATTTAAATAGCCTCTGATCTGAGTCGGATATATATATATATATATATATATATATATATATATATATCTTATCGTATCTTATGAAGTACAGACGTAATTTCAACAAGGTTACAAAGAAAGTTTATGTGGAAACACAAACTCAAAACTGGCCCCCCGAAGTCGTCCACCCAGGCAGGTAAAAAAGGCAGGTTTCAATATTTTCAGAAAGAATATCAAAATGAAATTATATCAAAGGCTAATGACAAAGAAGAATGGAGAAAGAAGGTTGACAGATCTTGTGTGGTGCCACTACGGTCCAGCAGACCAAGGGGTAGGTGAAAGTGAACTTGCTTGTGAACCTGGTATAACTGATGTCATTTAATGATTATCTAATTGATATAATTTTTTGTAAAGGATCAATCTCTTATTCAAAGCCTCAAGAAAAAAACATTTCCGTAAAAAAAAAAAAATAATAATCTTTTAGTTACGTGTTCCATGGCCACTTTGCAGTACTGCAGTTCACTCGATAATATAAAAAACTACTAATTAATTGTTGATTTAAATTATTATGAAAGAAGAAGCCTTTGTGCAAATTTGTCCTAGCATATGGAACTAGGAATGTGCCTTTATTTTTTTGTCTTTCTGAGTATTTTATTAGGTTTTGATTTTGTATTTGAAGATTATGGTTCAGTGTTTTATGTATAATTGATACTTTATTTTTAAGTCTTCTGTCCTGAAGGCTTTCTAAATTTAGTGATTTTACTAAAGGTGTTACGCTAGTCAAATGTGAATATTCGTTTGTTATGAATCTCACTGCTCTATTTTGTGTCTGTTCCAGTTTCCATATCTGTATATTTATAGGCTTCGACCTTCACATTGCATTGTTTCTTTGTTTCTATCTTTATTTCTACTATTATTGTAAGAATCTTAACAAATGTAACATTTTAAATTATTTATGTCCCTCCACATGACGTTTCCCTTTATTTACGCTTTATTAGTTATAGATCTAGTTAAGTTCCCCCCCCCCCCTTTCGGACCTTGCGATCCATGGGGCAGTTGATGTTAAGGTCATCTGTTTCTTAGGCCATCGTTGAATGACCAGGAGATCATGTGGCCAGCACAACGACTTACCTTTACTTTCCCCATTCGGATGGACTCAATAGTTAAAAATCCCGAATCGGAAATGCCAGTCTTCACTGAGGTTCGGAAGCAAACCACTCAGCCACCACGCCTAGAAAGGTATAGATCTAGATCCCTATATTTATGTCTGGAAGTAGTAAGTATGTAGTAGAGTGTCACATTGAGTAGCTGAGTGTCACGCTCAAAACGCGAATTTTTTAGGTTCGATCCCCATATAGTTCATCTTTTTGTTTTAAGTAAAAATCAAATATGAAAAGAAAAGCTCCCTATTTGGTCACGTGTGTGCTGGGACACTTATCCGATATCTTTA